GCCTAGCTAGGGTAAGTCAGTCGGGTGTGATGTAGTTACATGTCAATGACATTGGGATATGACAGGGTCATGATCTATCAGTCCGATTCACTGAGTAATACATGACACCTGACTAGCTCATTATCTGAGAGATGGTCGAGAAGTTTCATTATAAAATTTTAGTAGGTGTACTTAGAAATCATTCACAAATGTTGCTGAAGGGGTTTGAAACAGGATATATTGGGGATGACCTAACACAGACAAATTACTTACTCATTCATACTAGATCCTACATTTTGATTTATCAATTACAAATTTTCCTTGTGACACCACTTGATCTATCTGACCCTGAATCAACATGTGGTTTATCCAGGTTTGCCCCATATATCACTAACTCACTATATGAATCTCATTGAAATCATGAACCGACTTAGGTTCGACCAGGATTGGAGACCTGAAAGCACTGGATGACTGTTTCGTCCAACTATGGTACTCCTTAGAAGTGCGCATCCACAACCCTACAATAGAGAATCCAACCTAAGAGCTTCGGCCTCGCGAGGGCTATTATGAAGATATGAACATAGACAGCATTAACCAGAAACAAGGTTTTTTAGTTTACCTACTATTCATATTCGCAACTTTTGGTTATTCCAGCTAGATCGAGGGAAAGATTACTTTATGAGAAATTATATTCCACCTGTGTATTTATGAACAGACAAACTGACTTTGATACACCCATATGGTAAGTGAACTTGGCAGAGTTAGAAATGGGAGTACAGAGTCCAAGTGATGTCTGAATTTAAATAATCGTGTAACTCTGGGGCATCTTAAGTTTTGCTTAGTTTAATTGTAATATCACACGCAATGTCATCCAAGGTATAATACTTGATGCGATAATAGCATTCATTCTCATTAATAAAAAAACTCATACTACTCAAATCGTGTGGATAAGTAGTAATTCTCTATTCATAAGTTACATTTAGATAAAATTTAGTGTCAAGTGGCTGTAGATTATGTGAATTCGCGCGCCGTTTAACTCACGCCTCATTAATACATATACTAAAGTGTTTCATAGAATAGTGGTAGTAGTGTTTCGCAGAACATCATTATTTCGAAACTACCGATCTCTTGGAGTATTATCGACTAGATATTAAAAGCTGATGTCATGTTGTCGTCACCCTGCTACATATTGATCAATATTTCTTCTATATTCACAAGGTTTTGATGGTTTACTGATTCATGGTGTTTTTTATTATACCTCAATCTATCCCTCATTGGATATTCTGATCTTTAGGTGTTTGGCACCTGTCGGGAAGATACATGAAACCTAAGTTTAGGGTTTCCTATCAACTACTTCCAAACACCACCTTATATCTCACTTTGTTACTGCAAATATAAACGAATTACACTGCTCAAAATGAACATTCTAATTAATCGTTTATTACATTGAAATTGTCGTCATTAAGTCTTACTGCATTATCTCAACAATTAATTCCTAACACTACGATTTCTTTGAACTAAAACTAAACGTCACTAATTGATCTGTGTTATGTGAAGTGTTAAATATTATCACTGTTTACTTTATAATGAAAAGAATTGGATGCTTTCGAAAGAACTTAGAAATTTATAGTACACTTTAACTGATGAAATCCATCCACTTTTGAGTTGCACAACCAAAGCTCCAAAGTCGGTTTGATTGGTTCATTCTTGTATTAAATCATTTGCAATAACGTACATATCACTGGAAAGAGTGACTTTTAGGTTTTATCATAGAAAAATGTCAAATGTACATATGATGAGATTGGTAAGCAATATGTCTCACTTTATACCACAATAGACAGTGAATTCACTCTGTAAGAGAGTAGTTACATAATGAATTTCACGAGAACTATTTATTATTAAGACTCTCTGAAACCTGTGTCCCAAGCACTAATGTACTGAATTCTGAATAATTTCAGAGAATCTTAAATGTCGTGAGTTCCATCAGTAGTGGGCTTATGGATAAGTATTTTAAAAAGAGGGAAATTTTAATAATAGCCTTTGTTAAAAATAGGTGACTAGACAAATAATGTACAAACGTAGAGGCTAATTCCTCTCCATTTGATCCTAATTCTATGATATCCCGTTAACTCACTATTTTAGTAGGCCAATCCTCTTAGTAATACTGTAACGAACAAGAACACAGAAGGGGGGGGGTAATCAAATGCATTTTAATACAAAATTATAGAATCTCTTGGTGAAATATAAGAACCATACATTAAATACTCCATTTGACAAATTTCCATCATTTGTCCTTCATATACAGTATGATTCTTCTAATTCATATTTTCTTCAAGTTGAACCCCACAGACTTCTGCTATCAGGTTTTCCATTTCCTATTGGTTTTGCACACTACTCTTATGTCGACAAACATAAGTAGCATACATCATAGGAATATGAAATTATTTGAGAATAAATATTCAATAAACAGAACAGTCGTTATTCGAACAGTGTCTTGTTAATAATCAATAAAAACTACAAGCACGAGAAAGAGAGAGAAAGAAAGGCAACCAATCACACTGAGAAGTGGATGCGTGTGAGAGTAAAAATGCTCAAATGTGTGTATTTTATGAATGTCAATCAATTAAAGTCAAGTCATTGATTAACTATGTGTATTTTATAACCAATAGGAAGGGGATAGACAAAGATCGATGTACGGACATGCAATCGCTTAAATTAACATATGCTTTCATGTTAGTTGATTAATTGTCTAAATCACAGCATCTAAGGCTAATAGGATGACGATATTCAATGCACTTACTACCATAGAAGTATAAAATCGATTCTACTGAATGTCAACAAATGGTTATATTTTAATAGTTAAATTCATGTGTCGATCCAAGCTAGACTACTGTTCAAAGCACTGGGAGACCGTCTCATCCTAGTACGGGACTTCTCAGCAGTGTGCTTCCACGATCCCATACGCGAAACTCGAACCAAGGACCCTCAGTCTCGCGCACTTAACCTCTAGACCCATGGATTTAACTATTGAAACGTTTACCTTCTATTTAGTCAGTTTATTTCTTAATAACTCACTGATTTTCGGTATTTTAGGACTGAAATTGATCAATCTCTTATCGGCATATGTGCATATTGTGCATATGCCTCGATATTGCCTTAAATTTACAAGCATTATAAGTAATGATGGATAGTGGCTAGCAGTGGAATCCAGGACGCGCGTTTCGTCCTGTTTGGGACTCGTCAGCTGGATGTACCTGCATCTCAGAGAGTTGATGTTCACTCTGGGACTCGAACTCAGTACCGTTCACTTCAAACGCCATCACGTTATCCACTTAGCTACGATACCAAGTGACTTAAACTTCACCCCATTGCACAAGCAAGTGGCTACCAGGACTCAGTAGCTAAGTGAATAATGCGGTGGCGTTTGAAGCGAGTGGTACTGGGCTCGAGTCGCAGAGTGAACATCAACTCTGAGATGCAGGTACATCCAGTTGACGAGACCCAAACAGGACGAAACGCGCGTCCTGGATTCCACTGCTAGCCACTATCCATCTTTGCTTACAATTATCTTTGACCGTTTATAAATTGTAATTAGTTAATTATATAAACCTAATACTCAATATTGTAACATGAATTACTTAGGCATGTACAAATTAAGATTTCTTGATGTATAGTGGGTATCAATTTTATATTCGGCGGATGTGACCGATTGAATTCACTAGTCTAATGATATTGGGCGATTCATTTAGCTTCACAAACAGGATCAGGATTAGATAATACTTTGTCTATTCATGAAAGGTCATCAATCTATTTTGACGTGATTTCTAGGTTTTTAGTACGAAATTCACAAATGAAAATCTTAACCGTAACTGAGATCTATTCGGGGGACTTGAAGAAATATATTTCAGTTCTTGTAAAGGTTTAGAAGAGACAGGTAATCTATCTTCATTTTAACAAATTCATAGATCATTCTTTTGATTCATGTACAGAGTAACATGTAGAGGATGTTAAAAAATGTCAAATTCACGGTTAGTTTAAGCTTAACATCTTACAACGCTATTGCCTACTTTCGTGTATACTCAGATGATTAACTATAAGGTTTTATCAACATAGAATTTAATTATTCGTCGATCTTACAGATCGAATATTGAAACAATGTTAGACCTATATCGATCTACGCAGTACCAAATTCAACACACACACACATATATATTCAATCCGCTGTTTATAATATGTCTCAAGTTTCATCAGGATTTAGATTGACTGGCGTCAGGTAGGTGGCTTACAATAACAACCACTATGAATAATACTGTGAAAAAGGAAATTAGGACTCTCCTTAATAATTTTTTTATCTCCCCTAAAATTATTGGATTATCGCCCATGATGAACGTGAAAAATAGAAATATCCCGACTTCGTATCCACAAAGAAGATGAGGTTATAAAACCAAGGTGAAGAGAATTGAACATCAGTTTCCTAATAGATGACATGTAAACCACACATGTGTTAGACGATTGAATTCGGATAAAGAACCTCTTAGCTCGAACTTGCTACTAGATTATTTAATTGATATAGCCAGTTTGGAGCACCATGATTAGAGCGGAAGAAGTGATGGCCAGACTTCAAGAAAACGACATTTCTTTCAACTTCTTCAGTTAAATCCAAGAGACAAGACTTATTTTTGAGCAAGGAAAGATGATATGGAGAGCCAGTCAGAAGTAACCTAATGAGAAGTTCAATCGATGGAAATCAGAAGTCGCTTAACGGGCAAGCGCATTTCATTGACTAAAAAAATGGACCGATCTCCTAAGGATTAGAGCGGTATATATATATATATATATATATATATATATATATATATATACGAATGAGTATTTTTGCATTTCATTCGGCAGCCCAATACACTCTTTCACTCACTCTTGTATTCTTGCTCAAGTAGTCGATTGGGAGGGGGTTAGCGCGTAACACACTGTGTATCAGTATCAGCCCATCACATGTTGTGCTAAACACATTAACAATTATATTAATAACCATAATAATTATTATTGCCACAAACGCTAGGAATAATCAATTTAGCAGTGTGAATAACATAAATGCACAGGTATAAATTTACTGTCCATTCAACACTCATTACAAAAAGACAAGCGAGACCCAGAGAGAGAAATTTCATGTCTGCTTGATGAACAGTTTTCATGTATACCATTCATTCGGATTGAGTAGTGATGACTGCAACGGTAGCCGGAGGAGCAGCAAGACTAGTATCCATTGACGAATTAACAGGTTCCTCTTTCTCCTTATTTTCCTCTTTTATGGCAGAAGATTGCAGAGTTGGTTTGTCCAAATGAGATGGTTCAGTTGGTGTTGTCGTCGTCAGTGGGGGTGATCGTGTTGGTGATGATGACACTTTAGCATTATTATTATTATTATTATTAAAACTTCTGGCTTTGGCTGCTTTCATTGCATAAGCTCGTTTCGCTGCAATGGTCTCACTCGGTAAAGTGAACAACTTCAATATATTCTATTTATAGATCACAACATATAAAAATAGAAAAAAGAATAAAATGAATAAATAAATGAATTATAAAATGACACAAATAGAATATACAACAATACTGAACTGACAGAATAACGGTGATGTTGTGTCCGGCGTTTTAACCGGGTTGGTGGATACGGATGATCCACCTAAGACAGCTGGAAAACCCTGATTCCAAACCAATGATATACATGGGCTCCAGTATCCTGAAGGAACAAATGGCGTATGAACAAATCGTATGTCACCGGCTACCATTGGACTGCATTACCTTATGTGGCTCGACTGCATTACCTGATGTGGCTCCACTGCCTTATAAATTAGACCTTTAGGTCAAAGGCTCCTAGTGTAGTTCCCTGAGAAAACCATCTGCTTCGGTCTGGGCACCCGGACAGTATCCCAGCTCTCACGTAAATTGAATGATTGATGTGGCGCATATCTATTCGGTACCTCCTTGTACCAATGTTTATGTGTTTAAATAAATAAATAACCAAGAAGCACATGAAAGATTATTTTCTCTGTGAATAAGTCAGTCAGTCAGCTACAACGTAGGACCGAGCATATATATGCATTGATCCAAGTTGCCATGCATCATTAGCAAAACAACATGAACACCGGATTCATAGAAGTAGTTAATTCAATGGTTGTAATATATAAAAGAAAGTTTGCATATAAGGATATAGTAAATGAAGAAAGAATTAGTAGAAACAAAGATATGGAGTGATTTTAATCTCACAGTTTAAGGGAAGACAGAGAGTGTATACACCGACGCCATTGTGATCGATTCTGAGCCACGTCACCAAGAGTCTCCAACCATTGGTTACCATAGTCACGTGAACCCCAACCAAGTAGTCTGCATCTACCAACATGGCTCAGACTAGAAGTTGGTGACTTCAAGCACTGATGCCACGTTTTGGTTTGGCTGCCCCTAACTTTTTTCCAACCATCCCCAACACCGGTTAGCACTGCACGTCGTGGTAATTGGTGTTCAGGCATACGCAACCCGTGGCCCAACCACCTCAGTCGATAAAGACTCACAACCTCGTCAACTGATTCGCCATCAATCCCTAATACCCTGCATCTAACCTTACTATTACTTACCCGACGATGCCAGCAGATTCCAGCAATATTTCTAATGCATCTGTGGTCAAATACTAGTAGCTTACGAGTATCTTCAACTCTCTGTGAATAAAATTGCCTATCAAATATTGATGAACTGCATATTTTAGACAATTGTCTATGACAATGATTTTAGTAAAAGGTAACCACTTTGAAGAAATAACGCAAGAGATATATACTAATATATGATAAATTATACAATAGATATATGATATTAACACAACTAACTAACTTACAATGCATTCACGGAAAATATTTCTATAACTACGAATTCTTCGAGCATTCTCAGCTGCAGCATGCATATCTGAATCTTTTACAACAATATTTTGTGGAAATATTTTTGGATAATGTTGTTTAAATTGATCAAAAGTTTTGATGTCATAAGAACATACACATTGTAGATTAACACTAGTTCGTTCGACAGTTCGCATATCCTTTTTTTTTAATATAAAAGCAAAGTGAGAAAGATAGAAAAGGGTAAAATTTGTGAACATGAGAAGAGATCAAATATAATCAGTACAATTAGACATGATTATTATCAATATGGGGATTTGGTGAATTAATATTTTAAGGCAATAAGATAAGAATAATAATCTGACACATATGTGTATATCGGTTCAAGTGGCCATATGATATTAGCACAGCGAAATGAATTTGTCAGGGCAAATCACACAGTAATAGAAATATTAACAATACTGTTGATAATCAAAAGTATAAGGCATCGAAGATATGATACGAAGAAATACAAATTAGTGATATAATCTAAAAGAAAATTTATTAAAACATCTAAAAACTTAGGATTTAAGAGAAGATAAAAAATGAATATACCTGAACGATTGTGAGCCATGTCACAAGGTCTCCACAATAGGTTAAACTAGTCATGCAAATCCCAACCGGGTATTCTACACCTGCCTACATAGTTCAGTCCAATAGAGTGTCTTCATGAACTGATGAAATGTGTTGGTGTGGTCGTCTTAGCATTTCTCAACCTACTTGTACACAAGCCATCATCACGACTCAAGGTAGGTGGTGAGTGAGGAAACATGCTACATGTGTCAACCGTCTCGATCGATAAAGACTGACTACATCATCGGTCGATTTCCTCTCCTTTTCTAATTTACTCTGTGTTCATTTCATAATCCACAACTCAATGGTTTCAATATATGCAAACAAATTAGTCAGTCGCACATAGAATCTAGTACATATGAGTATCGGTTCAAGTTGCCATAACCCATTAACACAGATGAAATTTTCAGGTCAAGTCCCAGGATACGAATAGTAACATTATCAGTGGTAATAGGAAAGGTCAAGCATGAAAGATACAATTCCAGAATATATAAATTAGTGAAATAAAAACACAAAAAAAACCTGACAGAAATTCAGAAACCCAGAATTTAGGAAAACACAAAGGATCGATGCACTTGCGTCATTACAAACAATTTTCAGATATGTCACTCAAACACTCTAACCATTACTTACGATAATCAAGTGGATTCTAAACAGATAACCTACACGTGTTGACATGGCTCCTTGGTTCAACCGTCAATCACTTAACATGAACGAATGACATGTTTTGGTTAGGACTATCCCAGATTTCCTCCAGACTACTCCTGCTCCAGAAAACATAGTCCGTTAAGGTGGTCAGAGGTTGGACATACGTAACATATGTCGCGAAACACCTCCATTGATGAAGATTTATTACCTCGTCAATTGATTTACCATCCTTACCTAGAACTCTATTCCTAACTTAGACACTCAGTGGTCTAAAAATGCACGAGCAATGTTTCGTAGTTACATCTATGATCGAATAACAGTAACTTAAGAATATACAAGCAACGCTTCAATAGTATCCATGGTGGGAACTTACTTTTATCTAACAAATACAAAAATTTATACTTTAACAACCAACTGAAAAATACTCAATCCTTTTTTTAGAAAAAAAATAACGATTTACTTACTCTTGAATGTTTATCTCTACAAGCTTTCCAAACATCAAAGACTACATCATTGAATGATAATAATGCAACAGGTTTTTGAACAATCCACTGTGGATCAACACGTGATTTATACTGTTCTTGATGAGCAACACTATGTAAATGATTTTCTAACTTATCCACACCGGATATATTCATATTACAAAGTGAGCAACAATATAGTTTGTTCTCTTTTACCGCTGATTGATCCAACTTCAATTAAATTGGATCATAAAAAGAAATAAAATTTATATATTTAGTAATTTTCGTAAATGAGGAGTAAAAATAGGAAAGGAAAAAAAGCAAGAGAATTTATGCCCAGAGACACAGAGAGTCATGTGAAATTAATACTTCAAACAATTTACATTCAATAATATTCATGTAAGAATAATCAAGTTCCCTTAGCAACTACTATTCTATAGTAAGAAATAGGAATGATAATTATCGAATTGTTTTTTTTTCAAATAGATCAAATGTTCCAGTGGTGAAGTATTCATGATAAGGTTTATTAAGTGTATATGTAGATTTGCATTGTTTAATTAAATAATAAGTGGTAATGATACAACTTAATTGATAAAACTAAGTTAGTAAGAGGAATATAAATTATAAATCAATGATTTTAATGGTTGAAAAGGGAGAGAGTTTGTACTACTACTACTAAACCGCTCTGCTTTGTTTGTATGTACTAACCAGTTTTAACATTATATAAAAACTGGTTTTTCTTTCCATGTTGAGTAGCATTCATTGAAATTTGCATGTAAGTACTTGGTAAATTAGTTAAAATGCATAAATTATCCGTGAATACAGATATAATAATTCATTTTGAAAATGGATGTTTGAATAATGAACTAACCGAAAACTAGATTTCAAGTATTTTGTCTTTGATTAGCAGGAGAATGGCCAGTGGTTACCACATAATGAGCAAAGCGTGCATGAGTTACAAAATAACTCAGTTAAACAGATTTAATTGAAACGAAGTACATATCTGTTTGCACACTTATCGTGAATAAAGTTTACAATATCCCGAATAGTGATCAGTAACGAATTTAAATGACGCAAAAGTTTATTGATGATCCAATGAAGCTTCAGTTAGCGTTTTCAAGGTCATGGGGTAAAATTGAGGCGGGGAAGTTGAGCGAATAACATATTTTGACCAATTTTAGTGGTAATACAGTAATACATCACATTAGGCTACACACATATAACATGTTATATGACAACAGATACTTAGCGACAACTAGAAGAGGTACAAAGACAAGGGATGAAGTGATATTACGCAGCAATACATGCTGGTTGAAAAAGTTTGTTCGAAAGAGTACCTTCTTCTGTTCAGTCGAAACTGAAACTATACCAGATCGTGAGTTGATGGATTCTCGGAGTACCAGTTACCACTACTACTGTCACCCTTTATCAGACATAATCCATATCGCAGTGCAGTGGTAAGAGTAGTAGAAGGTATTGAAGTAGATTCGGTATTATAGAGGATCGCTATCAATATATTCGTAAACGGATAGCTTCTACGTCATTGCCCATTATCATGGAGTATGTACAACTAAGAACTATGATACAGATAGACAATTGGCGTCATTACATGTGTCTACACAGGCACAGTTGTTATTATCGGGTGACTGTTCACAAATGCCACTTTTTTTCTTGGTCAAACGACAAATGTAGATACAAATCATATTGAAGTCAGGTGGTATTGTCAGAAGATTATCTTTAAACTTGTTAAATATGTACAAACATGATGTTTTGAAATCATATGGACGAATTCTTGTATCGCTCATACTATGAATTCAGTCCCCACCCATTTAATGTTAGCCTTATTATTTACTTGAATTATCGTGGGGGGTTTTCGGCAACAAATATTTTATTCACATTCTGCTTGACATGAAATTATAATTATTTATCATTATTTGTGATAAAAGATAAATAAATAGCAATATATGGCTATTCTTCAAGTGTTTAAATAAGACCAACGTTGTTTGTCATCTCAAATGATCTATGGCAACAGTGAAAACTAAGCATCTTGAGAGAATTTCGCAACACGTTGTGAATATTATGTTGTGTGAAATTCCGAATAAGGTACTCACACTCGTTTCGTAAACTCAACGGTGCATAGAAACATAAATAGAGAAAGTGATAACTAACAGATAATTTATTCAAAGCAGTTGTTGGAAATAGTCTACAGGAGACTGTGGAACTAGATTTCGTGCTATTCGGTAATTGCCAGCAAGGTGTACCTGTGATCATGATGGAAATGATGTTCCGAGATGGATACAATTCCGACCTTCAACTCAGACAGGTTACAACTGAGTTGTTCTGACCGCAAGTGACCTGTACTTACAATTGATCAACCATCGATTCCCTTTAGATCACACATTACTCACAAGCCCAAAATACCACAAAGCCAAGATCAAGATTCTAATGTCAACTATTTTCAAACATCACCTTACGTCTCAACATAGTGCGCATGTCGAGTAACTGAGGCTAGAGGTCACATAAGAACTTGATTGATAGAACTCCATCAGCACTAAGGAGGGCCTAACATACATGACAATGGTCACTACTCAGTGATCAATCAAATATATTTTAACTGGGCACTTGTCGAAACCTATCAAACATGTATGTTTGAAGTGTGATTCAATATTTTAAACAATAGGATTTCATCTAGAGTGTGAACATCCCGATTTACACCTGCTCAAATAGTAAATATGACCGATCACTTAGAGTTAATATTTCAGCCCAGTATATATATAGACTCTGTAGCTAGAAGTAATGTGCTTTGGGCATATATTCACAGATAAATAATGTGCCGAATTATGTGATCCAAATAGAGAGTAAGACGCCAAAGCACTACTATTATTATCCAAAACATGTATACCAATGACTAGGTATTGTATCCATACGTTATTAAAGCCAAGAAAAAGCTGACAAACTTCGGCTTTACAGTTGTACAGTGTAATTGTATGGCTGCGTTTACGGACTTTTGTACAAATATTACATTATCAGACACATACACACACGGACAAATTTACCTCGTCTATGTATTCTTCACCTGCGGGACCAGGTTCTTCATACAATAAATGTCTTAAGTCTAAATATTTACGCATGAATATCTTTTGTTTAGAGAAATCTGGAACAGTAGAAGACACTGTATTACTATCATTATTATCACTACTAGTAGTAGTAATGGTAGTTTCCTCCGCTTTCTCACCAAACAAAGTAGTATGCGCATCTAAGGAAAAATTCAATTTCGCAATTAAAAGGAGGGAGAAAGCATGAGATTATATTCAAACATCAATGCGAGTATATAAGCGAGATGATAATATGCATAGACACATATATTGTCACGTTGTTATTCATATAAATACTGAATAAATTTATGCTGTGTATACCAGTTCTTCGTAGAAAAAGAAAAGAACTAATTACAATCTGTAGACTGGTGTTACAGACTTGGGGTCAGCCAACAGTAAGCCACCACCTCAACTCAAGATTGATGTGTTTGTAGAGGAATTATTGTTATTAACCAGCAGTAAAGTATTACTTACTACATATTCCGCAAAAGATACACACCCTTCAAGATTTCAACATGTCTGAGTCGAGGGTGAATAGATAAGTAGAGAAGAATACTCATACTTTTGACAGTGATCAAGCATCTCATGTTAAGACTGGAATAATCCGTCACTAAACATGCAACAATATGATAATATACTCAATAGTTAGTGAGTTACATAGAAATATAATTTTGTAGTGACACACTGAACAGTATGAAGTAATGCATATGGTGTGTTAGCGTTTGGTTACTTCATCAAACTGGACTACATGTAGCGTGAGTCCGGTATTCGTCTCCCAACTCCGAGAATGAGTATGCTGCACAGTAGTCTGCTTTGTATTACTCAAAAGCTATGAAATATGGTCTATCAAAGCAGAGGATATACATAATAAGTTATTATTATCGAACAACCAAGTGATAAATGCTCCGTTTAGGGAAAAGGTAATCGGTAAAAGTGTAAGCCATTTAATGGCGCTAAAAACTTTCATCAACTGAGATAGTTAGCAAATGCGTTACTCATGACTAACCATCCCCCTGCCAACACATACAATGTTGGCTAGCGTAGCAACAAGTTGAGAGAAAATCAAGGCTGACATACCAAGACATAACCATCAATTCACGAAGTCATTAAATGTAGGTATCGGCAACATCTTGATATAGATACGGGATTCAGTTTGCGAGCAAGCCCGTTCAATAATCGTAATATATATATTTGCAAAAATTAAGTGACATGGGGGAGTATTGTTCAAAGTTGCATTACTTCACCATTTTTCTGTGAATCGTAATTTGTGTCATTCTTAACTTTAGAATTGTATACCTCTTATTGTGATTTCCATTGAGACTGGAATTGATCCTCTTGCTTAGCATCACAAATCGGTAATTCTCCCTTTCGATTATGTGAGATGCAGCAAGTTGAACGAATACACATTCGTGTTAGTTTCGTCGCTGGTGACTGGAATAACTGACCATTACGCTACATCCCACTAAATAGCAGGATTAAATCGAATGTTAACCCTAACAAAACTTTAAAAAACGCATATACATATAATATGATGTAAAGATTGTTAGTGTCATCCTAACTGACACTAAATACTCTGATACGTAAGTGATTTCCACCAAATTGAAGCAACCCCCCCTTGCCGAGTATACAGAGGTCTGTGTACTCAACTTCAAGCCCAAATCTTATACGTTAGGGCTGAGTGTACTACCAACCGGTTGTCAAAACCGAAAAACGTGGAGCAAATAAACGTTAGAATTGAGACCTATTTGGTCGAGAAACGAGTGCTTCAACTACTAAGACACCAATTTGTCGTAGATGTCTTAGCCTTCGTAACGGTTAATTTTGGCAAGCTGTGCAGGTCTCCACATTTATCATACGTAAATAATATGAGTTATAAATAAACTCAGTCACCAGATCCTAGGGCACATATTAATGATAATATACGGTTGCCCAAAGCGAAGTGTAGTGGGGTTTGGACCTGGGATATAGTGGGTGAAAAGCGAATCTCTGAACCACTAACAAAACTACCATTCCAGACATTGATCATAAACCTTCTCTAGCTCCCAACTAAGTCTTCAATTTTAAGAGTACAAGCTGATAAACACAGAAAAAAACTCTTTGATAACTTGAAAAATAAACATGGCACACACACACACATGCTACACATAAACATACCTGAATTCATATAAAGACAAAATGATTCTAATGGATCATCAGATGGTAGTTTTATAGTTTTATCCTCTGTATTATTTTTTATTGCTTTATATACCTCATAAATTCGAGAATTAACTTTATGTCGTCTGAATTTTAAATGTTCCATATAACGTGTTTTATTGATGAATGTTTCTTTACATATACCACAATAGATTTTAGGAGTTTTCCCTTCATACTAATCAGAAAAAAAACACAATGAGAATGTAATGTTAATGTTATGATAAGACCCATAAACAACTTTTGAATGGATTTCTCTTTTTTTTTTTTCTTAAATGTATTAAAACAAAAAAATAATGAGAAAATAATCTTCTTAGATGTATAAAAGTAGCATAGAATTCATGAACATTTCACTGAATAAAATAGCAAGCATACTTTTTGTGTTTGCTGGCATTACAACATATGAAGTGAATGAAAAGTTCACTTGTATATTATATATCAAACGGAACTGGTTTATTCTAACATATATTACTTACTTACTCCAGAGTCGATATTTACTAGGGGACACGAACCCAGTAATGTTCGTTCCAATTACTTAATTATGTCTATTACCTCTTGCATAAGAACACAGGTCCCCCCCAACCAGAATTCTCCATAGAACTCTGTTTTGAGCAATGCTTTACAGTTTCTATTAATCCTTTTCATGTTTGATTCCAATTCTCGATGCAGTGTGTTCTTTGGCCTTCCAATCTTCGTTTCAGGATTTCATGTCGGCACTTGCTTCGTGATGACGTTTGATGATTTCCGCAATCTATGTCTCATCTACCTGAAGCGTCTTTTCCTAATTTGCTCTTAAGCTAGAAGCTGGTTTGTTCTTTCTGACAGTAGGCTGTTACTGATGGTATTTGATCCACGGACATTAAGTATCTTGAGTAGACAATTGTTGATAAATACGTGTACCTTCTTGATGATGGTTGTGGTAGTTCTCCAAGTTTCAGTTCCGTGCAATAGAACTGTCTTGACATTCATATTGAGGATTCTAACTTTGATGTTAGCTGACAAGTGTTTTGAGTTCCATGTATTTCTATTGTAGAATTCTGCTTTGCTTACCATTACATCTGATCAAATCCTCCTTGTATATCAATGATGCTGCTCAGGTATGGAAAAGTTCCCACTTTTTCATTCTAACACATACTTTAAGACATATATGTATTCAATTTATTTTTTAAAAAAACTAATCAAACCTTTAAAGTTAATCTACTTACACAGTCATTTAGTGTGGAGGAATCATCACCTTCGTCTTGTTTAATTTTAGCGATTGTTTCTTTAAACAAATTTAGATTCTTATTATGAGGTTCAGACTGTAAATGTTTGGCCAATTTCAACCTCGTTGTAAATCGTCTTTCACAAATATCGCAATATTTACGATGTGGACGTACTCTTCGCTGATGATTTACATGAAATGAAAGAAAATTTCAAAATAATTGGAAATAAGAAACACAGAGAGAGATTATAAATCAGTGGAAATTAACATATTTAAATTATTGGATGCTGGCACAGTGTCTTAAAACGCTTGTTGTAAGATCTGAAAGCAATGGGTTCGATCACAAGCGGAATAAGATGTTGCGTGTGCACATGGACTGAGGAACACCAGACATATGTCTAGTGATTCCTGGTTTTCAATAGTTGCCCGTGATGAAGAGACTATAACAGTTTGAATTAATTTAGGACAATGTGACAATGATATATCCAATCAAAGTAGCCTGTGATTGTGATTAATCGTGAATGATAAACAGACGTATTCAGTTACACGAAGTTTAAGAGGTTATTTTATTTTGTAAAGTTCATTTCACCTTGGTCTTAGTTAGCAATTTCTCTGTACTGCATTTCCATGAGGAATCGTTCTGATTCGCTCTACCGGACGGTCGGATAAGTGAGCGATTGTGAGTAACACGTGATCAAGTATCGTGATCTAGACTCTAATGTTATTCTCGTTACTATGAGCTCCATGTCTGTTATGAGAAAATGATTATACGGGCTGAGTGATGTAAGGGTTCAACTTTATTTGATCGATTTAACTATATTAGTACATGGTTTGAATTGTCGAATACACCATAACAAATAAATACAACTCGCAAAAAACCCATACAAAATATTGACTAAGACAAAACTAGATTTAGAGTTGTTCAAATCATCTGCTTTCTGGGTAGAATTTCGCAAGGTCACCATTAAGAATTGCCTAAGCTAGCCAGTTGTAAGTTTTCTGCCACATTTCTCACAAGTGAATAAAAATTTACAAAACATACATACAATATGTAATCATTGATTTCAGCAAGTAACATAATGTAACAGTTATATATATATATATATATACAATAAAAAGAATGAGGTAATGTGTCAAACTTACAATAATTATGCCTTGTTTAGCTCTATCAATTCTATCTTTAGCACATAAAATTCTAGTACTTTTGTCAAAGGGTTTCTTTAAGAAATACAACGGTACTGTTCTTTTCTCACCACTACGATTTTCCATCTATGGAGAGGGATAACATGAAATAAATGGAAAGAGAGATAAAATATCATGTTACATTTCTTTTGAAAATTGATAACTGAATGTACAGTTAATAGATATTCATAGTTTTAGATCACGAAATGATCTTGGTTAAAAAACTTGGAAGTAGTGGACGGTCATTTCATCCTAGTACGGGACTTCTTTAGAAATACAGATCCACGACCCCAGATGCGGGACCTTTGGTCTCCTGTGCGAATACTTAACCTTTAGATCATTAAGGCGGCATCCAAAGGTATTACTATCTAACTTAAATTAATCAACGGTATCGCGAAACCGTCATTCGTTGCTTGAGGTAGATAACTGTCAAATAACCGACATGGCTGAACTCTTCTCACTAGAACTCCAAGAATCGCTTGGCTAGACCGTTTTATTCTAATATGTGCCACATCCAGTGCTTCCAGTTTTTCGATGGAGATTTGGCTAAGATTACTGTGTGACCTAAAAGGTAGAAAGATTCTATAATCTCCACAGATCCCTCTATTTTGTTAATAGATTCATTAAATGTTTCATGTGTTCACGCACTGTAATATTATTTTCTTTTCCATAAAAACTTCGTTTACAGTGTTTTTTCGGACTGGCTGACTAAGACTTGTTGAAAATTCGTCACAATGGTTTAAAGCTCATCCCTAAACTATGCACTCTCAGCCAAAGATAACTTTTGAGAACTGATATACTTCACTTACAGAACAAACATATACAATAACAGAACATCACACACACAAATGACAATTAATATAAGAGGCATACCGATTTACGAACAGGAGGAATAGCTGGTAGTGGCGGAGACTGACGATTCTCTGTTGTCATGGATCTACGCCCACCGTGTGAAGTACGCATTGAAGGTGGTGGTGGTGGAGGGGGTCGGGGTCTGTAAGAACCTGTAGGTAAGACAGAAAATCATGATATACACATAATACAGATGATATTCTGAAATTGAACGAAAAAAGGTTCGATGAACATAGAAAAAAAAAAAGAATTATCGAAATCATTGACTGGGAGAATAATAATTTAGAGATTGAGTAAAGTAACTGAAGATAACATTTTGTAATATAATAATTTAACTGTTAAGATATCAGTATGTTTTTTTTTAATGAAAACAGTTTAATTTATTGAAAAGTATATCGGACATAACACTATCATTGAATGTTCATTACATATGCTTGTTGGTATAGCTTTTTTCGATAAATAAATTAATTACAAATGCTAATTAATAAATCTGTTGAATGAACGCTGGATACGATTTTCTAACCACTTCTAATAGATCAAGGTGGAATTGACGCAGTGACTTGAACGCAATAGGAAAGATGGGAAGTGTATAAAGAACGTTTTACTCTAAGGTTAGTTTACGCATAGGAAAACGAGGGCTTCTGTAAGTTTCTGGGACCACGTTAAATATAGTAGTAGTATGGGTAAATATTCAATCAGAAACGAGAAACGTAACGTTTTATATTCCAGATACTTCTGAGAGGCTACTATTTAACATTGACTGCATCCCTATAGACGTTTTTGAGGAATACATTGGAACTCCCTAACATTATTCATACCCGTAGTCAATATACAAGTGGGATTTAGTGATTAGAGCAATTGGTTTGAATCTAGCACCAACAGTTTCGATTTGAGCAGTTAGGATTAGTATTACAAGCATGCATATAGACAAAAACCAAGTGATTTAAAACTGAGTATATATCTGATGCAACATGCATAAATCCATGAACCCGGTTTAAACGGTTAATTAACACTACCCCCTCCAATCAAATCGAAGAAAGTGAGACAGATTTCAAACCTGGGACTTAATGGTTGAAATATAAATAACTTAAACACTGGGTCACAGGGCTTCACTAAGTTCATGAATGTCCTCAGTAAATATTTCGCATTAATTTGATTACTATGTGATCTATTGTTATGAAGCTTCGTCTGTTACATAACTACTAGGATCAACATTAGACAATCAAATAGTTTTAGTCACAGAAGTCAAGTACTAAATACATAACGATAAGCATCCGAGCTTATTCCAACCCACATACTCATACGATGATTTACTAAAGGGTTGCGCAGGATTATGGATCGACTGGAGTTAGAAATTAACACCATCGGATACCGGCTAAGTGGTCTGGAGGTTAAGCGTTCGCGCGTGAAACCGAAAGTCCTGGGCCCGAGTCCCACGTGAGATTGCGGGTGCGCACTGCTAAGGAGTTCCATAATAGGACAGAACGACCATTCGATGTAGAGATTAGGAATGGTAGCAATTCTGTTACCTTGAGCGTAACATTCCCATACCTCTAAGGACCGTAACCATAACCACAGTTTAAGCCCTAGCACTCTTAAGGCAATTTCACTTCTGGACTCCATAACTTCGAAGCACATTATTTACTGATCACAAGCGATGTAAAATGCTTATTTTAATATTTCAATACTCTGTTGGTGATTTGCGATTACTTCACCAACCAAATCAGTCAGAAAGGGAAATCTCATCAAAAAAAGCATCCGGTGTAACAGGGCATTAGTAATTCCGTTTTAAAAGTTCAACAATCTCCATCTCTATTCTAATTGATCGATTTTATTTGTTTTAAGGTTATCATTTAAGTTTAGTTCTAACATACAAAACGAAATGTTTACAGGATAACTCACCATACATATCAGGATGAATCCTACCATCGTCTTGTTCACCACGTCTAGGAGTAACTAATGCCTTCAAATCATAAGTTGGAAACTGGAAACAATGGCAATTAATAATAATAATCACATTATTCAATAATATATTTGTTTGATCACAATATAGAATTCTCATCCCCAAATAGTTAAAATTGCAACAAAAGGCGTAATTTATAGACATTTTACTAGTGAATATTTAGGAATCTATTAAACAGTGAATCGAAGACCATCTGGATGGGGTGGTTTATATGAATATCGTGATCAATGGCTAGAGTTCGAGTGACATGGGGTTCAGAATTATTCAGAATAGCTTAGATGTACTCACTCTTTATCTCTGCTTAAATAATAAGTTCTGAAATCACGAATTGAGAAAGCTCAACTGGCTTTAGCTATGACTGACAATATCCTAAATTCAACTAGAAATACAAAAGATAAATATGGAGAAATTTCAGAATAAACTATGGTTCATCTAATAATATGATCAGACTCCAGATACATTTTTAGGTATAAGGCCAATGATAAGTACCTACAGACGATCAAACCGAGATAGATATTGTGTAGTGCAAACCTGTCAGCTAGTGTTTCAAAGTCGAATGGTTTGAACCGTTAAGACACTACTTAAGAAAAAACGTAAAATATAGAAACTAAAAAGTAAAATAATGTAATTACCTGAAATTTAGGCCTCTCATCACGATTATCGTAATTCATAGGAACGTCACGTATTGACCGTGGATGATTGACCCCTGTAGAATATGGGCAAAAAATTTTAAAATTTAAATTAGCATTGGATAAATGCTACATTGTAGTAAACAAATGTATATAATAACGCGACATTTTCAAACTAATAATTGTCAAATCTTTGTAAAAACTAAGTCCATATAATATTCTCCATCTATTATTATTATTATCATCATCATCAAACATTGACCTCAGTTGGGGTATCACTGAAAGCTAGAAGGCGTAGAACTTAATTCAAGATGTTTTTGGAGCTCCAGGAAGAAGCGAGTGGCGGTGTTTAGATATGTTGAGAGAAGAACAGTTGCCTATGACCACCACCAAAGCAGATACGAATTAAACATTGAAAATATTGGTTTGATCATGAAATTATTGAAAACTAAAGATAGAAAGCTGTTTCGTCGTTAAATACCAGATAGAAGAATTATTCAGCTGTTCAGTGTACCTATATAAAAAGTACGATTTACGTGTACGTTGTAATACATATTCGTCAGGGACTTTCAACAGATTACCTACCACGATCAGTACAAGCATTTATGGTTAGTTATACATTAAAAACTAATCCATAAGTTCTTGTACATAGCTCTAAGCCATAATTTTTTGAGTAGGTACTAATTATATACTTTCCAGCAGTTCTAACTTAAAGAGATGACGGTTTCTGCTAATCGCCGTAATGCATCTAGCAATTAACAAAATATGATTTCATTGTAGTAATTTAGTTGAAGTGGTGTCAACTAAAAACCAGGAAGCAATGGACGAATGTTTCACTCTAGTATGGAACTCTACAACAGTATATTTTACGACCCTGTCAGAAGTTGAAACCCAAAGATATCGTGAGTGAAACGACCGTCACACTATTAATTCAAGGTGAAATCGTATTTATGGGCACCGATGCAATCATTCGCGAAATTCTAAAGTCCCGAGTTCGACCGACGGTGGAATCATGAGTGTGCACTACTGAGGAATCCCACACTAAGAAGAAACAATTGTCCAGTTCTTTCTAATTTTTAATGGCACAACAGCTGAAATCAGTCTATGACGAATATAAACTATAATTTAGACTATATTATGCAACGTGTATAATGTGTTTAAGTAAGACTGCTGATAATGTGATAAAGTAGGAAGGGTGATTTAAGAAACCCTTGGGAACCATATGAAATCAAAAACACCTTCCGAAAAACAAAGTACTTTGCACTTAGAAGGTGCAAAGCACATGCCATAACTGTGGAAATTGACTTCCTACTTGCTATGTACGGATTGCATGACTTGAGTATCACTGGACAATAAGACAATAAAGTAGTCATAGAGTGGTAGTTGCACAGAACTAATATTGGTATCAGCGTTAATGAAGAAGATTAAGCATAAACAAAACAATTCGAAGAGAAAAAAAGAATCTGAGAAATGGGAAAAATGACATGATCATCTTGAGAACTCAAGATCTAAATGGAGATAAACAGTAGGTGCATTCGTGACCTTGTGATTAAGTTTGATTTCACATAATGACAATGACCAGAATTTATTCATGATGTTGATGGTCTCTATTACCCAACATCCAACCAACAAATATATGATATACATATTAATTATAATTTAGATTACGCAAATATTTCTTTATTTTTAAAAGAAAATGGAACACATCATTTAATAAGAGATAGGAAAATTCTAAATTTGATAAAACGTCAGATTAATAATTATATACATATTTTATTATTACTAACCGTATACATCTACGTCCATTGGATCTCTTAATTCACCTCGTTTCGGTGTATTAAATGATCTCATTTCATAATTTGGTGGCTGAAAATAGAACAATAGGACAATGTTACAATGTTTTTATGAATTTTGTGTTATTTGACTATTTTCATTATCGATCTGGACAACATCTACAGAACTTAATTTCATAATAGATAGCATTACAGAAAGTAAGCAAGGTGTACTTGTAATCTTGAGGGAATTGAGGCTCCCTGACGGATGATATTATAAGTAACAATAATGAAAGCTATGCATTTAAAGCATTTAGCTTAGAGAACATACAATACAAACTTTTAAAAATCCACTTGAACAGAGAATATTCTCCATCACTTAAATATTAAACATTAGTAATAAAATAGGCTTTTACGTGAACTAGATAATCATAACAAGATGATACGTTTTTATTTTTGAAGAAAAAAAACAAACGGAATACAAACCTGTAATCTTCGTTTCTCTTCAGAATGACGATGAACAGAATAGCTCAAAGGAGAATCGTCCATGTGAGAAGGTGGTCTATCAAATGAACGTCGTACTTCTCTTGGACCTATGTAAGAAAAAAAGACAAAACGGTGGTTTAAAAAAATAAAACCTATCGGATGAATGAAACGATTTAACTCAAAATAATCAAACTAAAAATAAATCGTTAGTAGTGAAAAAAAGCCTTAATTGAGGAGAAGCAAGTACATTTTTTCCTTTAATTAAATCGTCAACCACTTCACATGGATGGATGACATGTTTCGGTCTGGCCTATCCCAGATTTCCTTCAGCCTACTCGTGCTCCAGAAAACAGTCCACTGAAAAAGTCAGAGGTTGGACATACGTAATATATGTAGCGAAACACCTTCGTTGATGAAGATTTATTACCTCGTCAATTGATTTCCCATCCTTACCTAGTACTCTGTTCCTGACTTAAACATTGCTTACACAGTGGTCCTAAAATACACCTATAATCGAATGCTAGTAATCTATGAATATTCTTTACTCTTAATACCCACGTTTCACACTCACGAAGTAGAACAGAGAGAACTGCTAAACAGTATGCTCATCCTTTGGTCGGAAGACAGATACCTCATCTACGCCACAAGTGACGCAAGTTGGTAACAGAAGATCGAGGATTCTGAAACCGTGCCGAGATTTCTTCAAATACTATGCCACCAGGAATGACGACTGTCGAGATAGGTGAAGTGGTGGATACGCCCAACTACTTCACACCTTGTCATTAATTCAAGTGCTCGTGCAAGCCCATTCAGAAGGAAGAGAACTGCATACCGAACATGCTTGCATTGTTGCTCAAGGTGGTCAGAAAACCTAGTATTTTGTCAGCGCTTTTACAAAACAAAACTATATCATCTGCGTATTCTAAGTTGACGAGTAAATTTATGTGTCATGCATAGACATCATTCAACATCTCTTACCCTGATGTGTATTGACGCATGTAGTATAGTTAAACTGTGTAAAAACAAAAATCACATCTAACGTACAACTTACCATATTCAAATATATCTACACCATCTTCTTGTTCAACTCGTCTTGGAGTTGCAAACGTCTTCATATCATAACTTGGAAACTGCAAATAAACAAATAAATGAATAACGGAAGTGTTATATAACAAACACTTATTTATTCTGCTATTCTATATATAATTCATCATGCCTTTAATTCTAAAAGGAGCTCAAACATTACAATACGGCGTGACTACTACTACTTACTAGTTAATCAATAAAAAATTACCTGTCTCGATGGTCTTTCAGAAGAATGAGGAAGACCATGATGATTTGAAGAATCTTCTCCTCTAGAATAGGATCTTTCCAATGAAGATCGTCGAGCTCTTGGACCTGTAAATAAATAACTTAATCAGTCAATTTAAAATATCATTTAAATATCTCATTACTATAGACTTGAAAAAAAGTTTAAACAAGATGAATTAAATAAATCTTTTGTCATGTTTAATTAAGTACAACTAAATATTGTGTTATATAATTTATGGTCCAGTTCATCGATAGCGCATTTTCGTACCTGTTGATCAACGAACCTCGTGTGTTAATAATCCCTATGCATAGGTTAATTAATCAGGAAAACAAATCAACTCAATTAATCATTAGTATTTGACGCTCAAATAGTCATACCAAACTATACTACATATACGAAATTTAAGAGATTATGTCAATTTATAATGATTATCTGTATAGTGGTTATAGGATGATTAAAAGTCTTTATGTAACAGAGAATTATTTTCTAATCAAACTGTTCATATAGGTCACGTATCAATAAACAATATACAATTAAAACGCATAATTTATGGACAAAATACAACAGTTTGTCTGAACTTGTATCGAATCATTACTGTTGTGTTTATTAAATTTATTATTTGAATGAAGCTTAATTTTGTATATTAACTTATTTATTATACCACTGAGCCGGCACCCAACGGTGTTAATGTCTAACTTCAACCAATCCACGAAGTTGCGCTACCGTACACCATTGTCTTCAGTGAGTTCCTATCTCACAACAGACCTGGAGTTCTAGTGAGAGGTCATCACCAGTGGAGTTCAACCAGGTCTGTTGTGAGATAGGAACTCACTGAAGACAATGGTGTACGGTAGCGCAACTTCGTGGATTGGTTGAACTTAGACATTAACACCGTTGGGTGCCGGCTCAGTGGTCTAATGGTTAAGTGCTCGCGCGCGAAGCCAGTAGGTCCTGGGTTCGAGCCCCGAGTGGTGCGGGGTCGTGGATGCGCACTGCTGAGGAGTCCCATACTAGGACGAAACGGCCGTCCAGTGCTCCCAGGTTTTCAATGGTGGTCTAGCTTCAACTGACTCATGATTTCAATCTGTGAAAATTTCTAAAAATCTCCACAAAACACATTCTGATAATTATTTATTATAATTTGAATATAATTGTAACCTTTGAAATATTTTCTGGGTCGAATTAATATTGAAATAAATACCAATTTTTGTCCAATTCACATTCAAATTATAGCAGGAATCGAGAAGAAGAACTATAAATATGTAGTACACTTACGAAGATTATCCATCTCTACATCATCTCCAACTGGTTCACCTCGTCTCATTGGCATAAAAGATCTCATTTCATAGTTTGGAGGCTGGAAACAATAAAAGTAACCGATAAATCAATATGATGTCATAGTTAATTAACTAAATTATTCACATTTCAGTAAGAAAAGACATTAGAAAACCTAGCCCACACATTTAAATGTTTACGTGTATTATTCTACTCAAAATGAAATGATTAACTTTTATTTTTACCTGTAACCTAGGCATTCCTTCAGGCCGTTGAGATGGATGTCTATCTAGAGATCTATCTCTGAGAGTTGGTCTTCCTAAAGATGGTCGTGTAGCATTTGAACCTGTAAATACAAAACGTATATAAGATATCATTGCACTATAAGACAAAATATGATTGCTATGACTAATTTTTATGTAGCTTATTCAAGACGTGATGACTAAATCCACTAAACCATGAGTTAGACATATATTGTGTTTGAGAACAACTGATTAAAACATTTCGTAGAAAAAAAATCGGAAAGTGATTTATTCGAAAGTTGAATTAATGAGTCAATTTAAGCTAGAAAACCATTGAAAACTTGGAAGCGTTAAACGGCCGTTTCGTCTCAGTATGGGAGTCTTCGGCGGTGCACACCCATGACCCAACATCTGACACTCGAACCCTGAACTTTCAATATCAAAAGTGGCAAAAATTCAAAAAAAAACCCAGACAGTTGAATGATACGACTGAAATTACACTTGTTTAAATCATAGAAAATACATAATGTTTTTGATTGACATTTTCTACAAAAGTGAACATCGTTAATAAAATCATTTTTCGAATAGGTTTTAAGATGTGTATTAGTAGTTAGTGTTCAATTATTAACCAACGGACAATACGGTTCGGGACAGACTCCGTCAACATTAATATGTGTAGCTAAACTCCAACTTGGTTACTGAGTTACATCAAAGACAATAATTTGAAGTATGATTCGCGAACTTCATTGCCGGTGTACTAAAACTTTCATAGTTTACTAGTTTGATAGTGAAACAAGGAGAAGAAAGGTAATACCAATATGTATATAGAATATACCCAACATTGAAGTTAGATAAATGAAATATGATAAACCAAGTGTGATGATAATATCAAAAGACTTATTACGTTAAATAAAAGATGACAGTAAATGGTATGACATTTTTACCACCTAATAAGTGCGAATTCATGTGAAGAGTGAACGGCAAACAGAAGCGCACATGAAAGCAATGTCATTATTAAATACACCTTAAATGAGACAGAAAAAAAAGTATCAATGTGAACTTAATCCATGTAACAATTGAGTCCATTTGTGTTACATAAGGTTTAAACGAACCATGACGACGTAGATACGGTGAACGATCCAAATTTGATGGCTATAAAAATCAACAAAAACTGTCAGTTAAAAAAGAGTAAAAACAGAGCTAGAGAAATAGTGGATTATTAATTAAGAAAAAAAAAAGAAATTAAATTAGATATGAGGAAAAACATTCCTTTTCAATGTTCAATGAAAGTGATATTTCTAGCTTTTTCGAAGATTTTCCATTTTAATTTACTGAGTGAGTACTACAATATCAGTGTAGAATTTTCACATCACTGTAGCACATCTCAACTTTCCAGATGTAAACATATAAAGTGCAAGTTACAGATTGAAATGAAATGTCAAGTGAGAATCATGTCCTTATATGCAACATTCACTCACTAAATCAACAGGAAAATGGTAGATATAGCACACATAATAAAGACAACGAAGCAGATGCTCTACAAAATCCACGGATACATATTTTATTCCCTAAGTTAATTGTATCAGTGTAAATGATGAGAAACCATATTACAGCTTATGCTTGAAATGGTAATGATGAAAATAAAATTCGACTAACAGTGGAAGGATGATGGGGGTTCAAACCTCGAATTGAACATCGGCTGTGTGATCCAGGTACATCCAAGAGACAAGTATCAAATAGGATGAAACTAGCGTCCAGGATAATTTAAGTTCGGAGTGAGTTCACGAATGATATATAACCAATTTTACGTTAAGTTTCAAGAATTGAAATCTTAATAATGATAGAAGTCACAAACAGATCACGATACAACTACTCTACTTGAAAAGCTGATGACATCTCTGGGATATTGACACGGTTTAACAATTATTGTGAGTTACATTTAACTTTAAATTTCGATACACCGTATATCTAAGTCCCAACTAATCATTATGGAAAGATTTATTAAAGATATTCAGTCACTCATGTGCAATTCCTATACCAAACAATATCACCCGTCGAACAGGACAGTGGTTGGGTATACATAATACATCAGGTAGACTAAAGAATATCGAATGAGGTAAGCAGCCACTGGATAGAAATAGTAAAAGAGTAACAACCCCATAAGAGAAAACATTTTATGGTGGTAAAAGTAACGACAGATAACAAGTGGAGAATTTTTGGGCAGATAAAATAAAAGGATACATGCTTATAAAGAAAAAAATAATGATATAGTTAGACCGCAAGCAACTTTTGAGGATTCAAATAATCCCCAACATATTCCTAAACAAATCATATGTAGGTTCACGAAGTTTACAGCTCCAAAAAATACAACAAGCAACTAAATTTAAAAGGATATCACTAAATAATCGATTAAGGATGAAAAACTTTGGGAAAAAGCATTCAAAGGAAAATTGTACATTTTAAGGAGTACATTAATCAGCGGACTAATTTTTTGGTAGGGTTCAACTAGCGCTAAACTAGTCATAATAAAAGAAAAAGAAATTGGTACAATTACCTGATTAGCATCGTCATAGACAATTTGCTCTTCACAATTACCGTATTGATTGTATTCATATCGAACAAGTGACGCAGACCGACCGCTGTGCGACAAGCGACCTGAAACCGATGAATGAGGGTATACAAATATACGTGTTAATATCAAATACAGGAATTTCTAAACACAAAAGAATTGAGGAAGTAATTTATGACAGTGTCAATGTATTGGATGAATAATTTAACAAGTGAATTCTTTTTTTGAACGTCGATAGAATATTAAAGAGGAAGAATGTATTTATAAAATATCAGCGAAAGAATTTGAACCAAATTCAACGTTTCGCCCGGCAATCTGGTTCAAGGTTTTTAACTCAGCGCCCTATACTGTGAAACTATTGGACCAAATTTAGACAAAAGTTCTTATTTAGTCAGAAGAATAATTTGATATTTAGTTGGTGTGGCTTTCTGGGGGTAGATATAAGTTTAAAGTTTTAATGATAATTATCAGTATATGGTTGTGGAGATTGTTGAGATTCATTTAATTGATATCGTGGGAATCTGAAAGCACTGGATGGCCGTTTCGTCATCATATGGGACCCATCAATGGTGGGTTTAACTCTGATCGGTTCACGATCTCGATTAAAATTTTAAAGATAGTTTTTGGTATAGATCTATAGAATCAGGTGAAAAACTAATGAAAATCAAAGAGCACTACTTGACAAGCTTTTTGTCTATATATATATATATATATATATATATATATATTCTGCAATTGTCTCAATTGTCAGTGATTGGGGTCAGATTATGCTAATCCATGTAAAGTGTATAGTTGATAAAAGTGAATTCACGTTAAATGTTAAGTGGTTAAAATAATCGATAAGAAAGCCTGAATCTAGGTTTAGCGACAACCGGCATTCATCAGCAAGTTTTACCTGCAATCTTGAGTGAACTGATGCACCCCCTTATGGGATTGTGCTATGTTAAGTAAAGCTGAATTTTTCGAGCGGTCCTATATGACGTTATTACTCAGTTTTATTGTCCAATTATTAAACTTAGACTTTTGCATTCCCGTACTCGCAAGCTTCCGTTTGATATAAAAATAGTTCTTGTTTTACCTTTCCTAAATAATTTATGACGAACGTTACATGCAGTCCTCTACCACTTATGGTGCAGTTATAACCGTATAGTCACCCCTAATTCTGTTGATCTATAGTCAGAATTTTGCTGTCCGTTGTTATCTCACATTTAGCGAGTGACTAGTTAGCCAAAGGGTTACTGATATTAGATAGACAGTCTAGGTAAATAAATCAGTACTTAGACTACATCACTACAAATGCTCTTCTGTCTTACGGTCTTAAATTAAACAAACAATACGTCTGTTTGTATGTACCAATATCAAGGTTTAATTTGATAATTTCAAGTAATTTAAACATTGGTTAGATTGTTATTTGTTCGCTGAAGAAGTGGCTAACACTGAGTCACGAAACGTCAGAAAATTTAACTTCTCTACGCAGTAAGATATTACAAATATATTACCTTAATTTACAATAAATCTGTTTATTTTCGTCAACACATCAGGTTCAAACCTGAATTATCCAACTGCAGTCGGAAGGGTTTTCACTGAGTACAAACTACAGAGGGAGTACCAGTCCCTAAAAATTACAAGTGTACATTGGTGACAATCGACAACTAACACGTAAGCTAGTTCCGGAGTATTCTTTCAAATAACCCAAACTAACTAATATTTCAACATAGTGCAAGCCATATAGTCAATAGGACTAATGGTCTTACTGTGAATCAATCGATAAAATCTGACCAGTACTGGAGTAGATAAACATGACAATGGTCACTCTTAATTGAGTATATTCACTTAGTAAACCAGTTCGACCGTTGAGTAAAAATATGAATTATGTTTAAGCGCAGACAAAACAAATAAGGTGTAAGGTTTATGAACCAAGGAATTTTTTCCATGTACATTTATATACACTTTATGTAGATAACGTTGAGAAGAATTCACTTTATTTAGATACTAAATTGACAAGAACTCTATTTCCTTTTTTTAAAAAAGGTTGAGAATTTGATCGAATTATTTATTTAAACACAACTAATATCAGGGTGTTCACATATGTTTGGTCAAATGCAGTTATTGTTTTTGTAACTCACTTACCAAATATAAATGTATGCGTATATATTCAACCTAAAAATACTGTTTGTTTTTTGCTAAGGCTAACGATACTCACTACATATCCCTATCTAACCTGAAATAAAAAATGGAGCATGATTCGTACTTGTATTCCTGTTGTCGAGATTGAACTATTAAAAAATAATTTAGGAAAAGGATAAAACCACACTAGAACTATTACCTATACACATTATTACAATCTAATCCCACACTAGCACATTTTTATGGTATACTTAAAGGTAATAGAATGGATATAATTTTGCGTGTAAATTTGTATTTGGTTGTTTGTGTATATTCGCTGAAGATTATTAAAGGATGAAAGAATATCACACATAAAAATAAAACTAACTTCTTGGAGGTGGAGATGAAGAACGCATAGGCATTGAATGTCGACTCATATGGTTTGCTTGTAGTTTGTGATTTGATTCCTATCGACATAAATTAAAAACAAAAACGAAAGATATTGGAATGTTAACTTTACATAATGAATTATACCTGATTATGAATTCCATTTAAATCAGAAGGGTTTTTTCTGTGGATATTATAGTAATTTCAATGGTTGAGATCATGAGCCAATTGAAGCTAGACCACCATGGAAAACTTCCAAACACTGGACGGCCGTTCCGTCCTATTGTGGGACTCCTCAGCAGTGCATATTCCCGATCCCACCTCGCAAGATTCCAACCCATGACCTATCAGTTCCGCACGCGAGTGCTTCCAGGTTTTCCATAGTGGTTTAGCTTCAATTGACTCATGATCCCAATCATTCAAATTCCATTTAAACATTAAAAACACTAAGTTCAAAGAAGGGATCTCCTCTTTTGAATGAATTTATTATCAAACTTATTGATATATGTGAGATACAAACACTAAATTGGATGCTACACTATGGACCATTGCATAATCATAACAGTGAAATCTGATATTTAACTACATTATTGAAACAACGATTAAAACAATTAGTCTCTCATAGAATGAAGGCAAATAAATAAATAAATAAAAAACAAAGATTACTTGTTGATTGGAACTTTGAAATCCTCTTGCAACGAAAAATGAAGGTGGTGATGATGGAGGTAGTGGATGAGCAGCAGCAAGACGTTGATTTCCAGCTAAGTAGTATGAAGAGATATTAAAGAAAAAGAGGTGAAGAATCAGTCACTGATTACAAGAGTAAACTGAAAATACTATATCGCGATAAACATTTTATATTTTTCTTGTATGATTATTAAATACTTAAACCGTTGTCGCATATTACCTAGTCTACTGTTGCTTTATAACAGACCTATTAACTAGTCCTCCCTCCTCCTTATTGCTTAGTTATATCCCTATTGTAATTTTCTTAATTATGTTGGTATGTGGTCAGAATTGTACATAATATTATTTTATGAGTGATTTAGGACTTGGAATTATATAGTTAGAAATTATCTGCCTGCTGTGTTATGCTTTATGCTGGGTATCGGACAATCAAGTGTGGGAAACTGCATTCTGGACCAATAATTGTTAAGTATTATTCTCAGCTAACTCACTATCACAATGTCATTGGTTAATCGAAGGGTATTGATATTAGATAGTCTAGTTAAATTAATCAGTACTTGAAATACATCAACACAACTACTCTTCTATCCTATGGTCCCAAAATAAGATATTACTATCATTATTGAATGATATTCAAATAAGACGACTGACATGTGTCTATTTTTTAATGCAAAGTTACATTCATCGTATGAGTGTTCAAAACGTTAAAACAATGCGTTCGAATTCTTATTCCCTGTTGAAAATCCAGAAGACTGACTACCGACCAACTGATTAAGAGTAAATCGAAGAGTAGTAAGAGAAACCAGAGTTCTAGTACACATCCAAGTAATCTTTGGACGCTGATTGTGAAAAATCCAGTTTACAAAGTTATTAGGCGAGTAATTTTTGGTGCTTTATAAAACCTGAATTTAGTGAGTTGAAAATAATTTGAAAGCTATTTAATATCAATTATGGTTTCCTCCTACACAGAATAGAATATAGAACTTTGAGACCACGCAAAATATGCTTAGACATAAAAGAAATGATAATTTAGTAAGTGTAGTCATTTTAAAGCGCCGATTTCAGTCAATAAGAGACGATTTTTGTATATCACCCCAGAGGTTATACCGTGTACATAAGCTTAAGCAGTAACTAGGTATAAAAGATAGAAAGGCTATAAGTTAACATGGCAACGTGTGTTTGCATACCAAGACACTAATCATGTGATGTTGAAGATGGTGCAAATTGAAGTTACCAGAAAATAAAAGGATTCTACAGATTTCGATTTTGTTCAGAAAAATAACATGCAGCTCCAAAATGAGCAAAATACACATTTCGATTGCATAATTATTTAGACAGACTGTTGTTCTTAATGATCTGTATGTCCCTCTTCTTGATGTTCAGCACCGTAGTCGGTCAGTCTTTATTGGCATCTGTGAATCCTTTCTTACGAATTATAGAATATCTCGGGCTTTGAACAAAATAGCTGTCACGGGGACTCCCTCAAGATGTATATATGCCGACAAATACTGATCGAAATTCAGTCCTGAATAACAAAGACGGGATAATACAAATACTTACAGATTAACATCATAAGCAATCAACAAGTCAGTGGCCAGCTGGACTTGGAAGCTTAAGAGATAACGCGTTCACATTTGAAGAGATAGGTACTGGGTTCAAGTCACAGCGCGAATATCAAAATAAGCAGGCAGGTATAGCCAGCCGACAAGTCCCACATAGGATGAAACACGGGTCTTGCTTCTCGCTGCTGACTGTAACTCAGATAAACTAAAACTTAGATACTGTAATATTATTATTATTCCAATCACTATTCTCAGTGTTGAAGAGACTGAAGATTTCTACTGTTTACATGCACATTCGACTCACCGACGAAAATTAAGATACCTAACATATTACCTCTAATCTCTATCAATTATCGCTCGAACAATGAAACAATATAGCACTTATAATTTAACTTACGACGTGGAAATGGTGGATTTGAAGATCCAGGTACAATTTGGGGATAAGGATGCTGAAATAATTTAACAGCGAATAAAAAATTGATTGATGTAAGTAATTACAAAAATAGAAGCAAGAAGTAACATTTACAAGACAGATCTTTATATTCAGTATTTGAAGATTTCAAAATGTACATTTAAGTACTCATATCAAAATAGTTTGCGGCGATTTTCTGGGCATCTACTTACGCAAAAATCTTATGTAGTAGAGTGGAATCAAAACATGTAGGGTATATAATTGTGTAACAGGAAATGAAACACATCAGGTACACAGATAAGTATGTGACTTGAATATATTTAGACGCGTTATTGAGTTAATCTACAAATGTAGCGAGAAATTAGACAACTCAAGGGGTCCCCCATTGGTTTGGAATCAGGGTTCTCCAACTCCCCTCTGGGTGGATCCTCCGTATCCACTAACCTGGTCAAAGCGTCAGACATTCGCTTTTCGTAAACAACACCCCCCACGAGAAGTCAGAAAGTAGGATTTCCCTGTCAGCGGCTGTATACACGTGGCCATGTGAGAGCATTTGGAGAGGGAGCGGAGTCACCTTACCCTTGGTTGTACCAGGGCATTTGGGATACTAGAAAACCACTACCTTTACCACGCCAACATTTATATGATGAAATTATGTTTTTAGCTTTTATTCCCTCTTTATTCTCAGAAACGCGTATGCTACAATGTGGACCAGATCTACTATGTAACGTTAGTAAAACCGAAATGTTGCCACTGCTGAACGAATTTGTGTAAGTCAGTCGATTGAGAAAGATTACATTACCGAAGTACAGTCTCAGCAAACAGTAATGATGATGCAAATCAGTTAAGTGCAGTTTTCTGACTGAAGTGTTTAATCACAACTGTGAGGGATAGGAACACTTTTTTTCCTAAATTAGAAGGAAGTATAGTTTGAGGCACACCTAACAGTTATGTCCCAATTTGTTATCAAATGGTTGGTTGAAAAAACGTGTCACCTGTCACATACGATATTTAGTCATTTTTTCGTGTGTATTATTGTGTTTATAAGCGTGTTATTTGACTAGAGAACTATATATTGTAGCCAGTTGCCTAGTTGATCTAGGGGTGTGGATCGATAGTTAGAGTCATCAACTTTTAGTCTGAGCCATGTTGGTAAATGTAGACTACTTAGTTGGGGTCCGCACGACTATCCCAACCAGTGGGTTGGGTGATGCACCTCGGAATCAATCACAACGGTGTAGGTGTATACACTTTTTGTCTTCTCTTTAATAGTGAGATGAAAATTACTTTATACCTTTCTTTCTACGAACTAATTCCTTCTTCCTATATTATATCTTTATATGCAATCTCCGTTGTATATGTTACTATCGTTGAAGTACCTACTATGAATTTGGTGTTCATCCTTTTGTACTAATGAGGTGTGGCAACTGGGATCGATGCATATAGGTGTCCGGTCGTACGTTGTAGCCGACTGACCTGGATCGACAGGTCAATATTATGAGCCATTGCAATCACTACGCGTTACAGCACTCCATCGATCGATTTGCATTTAACTTATTCCTCTTTAACAGTCTTCCAGCAGAGCATCAAATCGCCGTATTATAAACCACAACACTGATGCTCGAAAGTTAAAGCGAAGAATTAAAATATTTACCATAGTAGCTTCACCAAAACCGTATTTATTTGAATACTTACACTTTTTGGATGGTTGTAACCAAGATAAGGATTCTTTGGTGGGTTATTAACGTGATCCAAGCCTACAAATTCGAAATTTCAAGAGAGATGAAAGACAATTAGATACGAAGAATGTGGGTATCCACCCTCCAAAAACACGCATTGTACACAGAGTGCGGTACAAAAACAGTACAATTAGGATCTAACACAATACGTACCCCACTGATCCGTGAAAGAAGCAGCATACCCATATTGTCCCATGTTACTGGTTATTTTACTTCTGATTTAAACAAATCTAAAACAATGGAAAATGGAACACTTAATGTACTTTATTCTGTACGATAAGCTGAATATTACGAAAAATGTGTAAATGTGCTGAACTCAATGAGTACAGTTAAATATATAAATGACTACACATCCGAAGAACTGGAAGTGTATGCAAACATGCACTTCAGGTTGCAGTAAAAAGAGTCCCAAATCATTTGCAAGGTGCAAATTTGTATTTGGCTTTAGCCCATACTCCAAGTTAGCATCAGTGATGCTACCAGGTTAACAAAGCACAAATAGATGTAGAGATTTGAATCTGCGACATAGTGGCTGAAATTCGAGTCACTGACTTACTGCTCCACTCTTACTTAACAAAACATCAACTACAATGTCGTATGTCATAACACCGATTAACTTGTTTCGGCTCAAGTAACTTGCTCGTACTCCTCGCAATAAGTGTAAATGGAAGAAAAAAAGGACCTATTTAGCAAGTAAAGAATCTGTTGATATCACGTCGGGGTCGGCGGTTTACCCCCAAATGCTGTGGCGCAACCGAGGGTAGAGTGAGTCCGCTCCCTCTCCAAATGCTCTCACGTGGCCACGTGTATACAGCCACTGACAAGAAAGTCCTACTTCCTGACTTCTCGTGGAGGGGGTGTTGTTTACGAAATTGAAAGGACGAAAAGCGAATGTCTTTAACCAGATTAGTGGATACGGAGGATTCACCCAGAGGGGAGTTGGAGAACCCTGATTCCAAACCAATGGTGGACATGGACTCTGTGCTGTGGGAACAAACGAAGTACGAACCCACTGTCGACCACCGGCTACCACCAGACTGGATCTCCGAAAGTTGCTCCACTACCTTATAAATTAGACCTCTCGGTCAAAGGCTCGAATAGTGACACCCTAAGAAATCCACCGACTTCAGTTTTGGCACCCGGAAAGTAGCTCAGCCTTCACACAAATCGAATAAAATGTGGCGCATATATATATATATATATATATATATATATATATATATATATATATATATATATATATATATATATAGTGCTTCTTACCGATTTTTGTGTTTAAATAATATATCAAAACATTTAAATATAACTGCATTTGAGCAACTTAATACAGGTACACTGAAATATGAACCATTTAATTTAAAGATAGTTAACGTAACTGTCTAGATACAATTATATGTAAGGTGCTTAATTTTAAGATTAACTACCAGTAAGCACTCTTCCTACAAGCAGAATGAGTATATGTCAGTAACACCATGAAGTATGAACGCGAATAAACTTATTTGCCATAATACCATTTTCCTTGGAGTATCGGTTACCTGCTGCAAACGGCCTTGTTGTTATTCAAAACACAAAACTTTCGACTCGAAATTAAGGATAAGTATTTATTTTGATGTCCCAATTCGCCGAAAAGCTTAATGTGTTGGTGTCACTGAGTGAAAGTGACCGAAACGAATAATACTAATCCGACGACGTCGCTCAGACAGTAAAACTTACTAACAGAACAGATTAATGACCGAAAACACTCAAATTGACTAGGAAGGGAGAGATTTACCTAGACTGAAACAAATATTCTCTACGGAACCCGATACTTTAAAATAACTACCCAGTTATTCTCAAATGTAAGATGAGATCACGCTTTGCAACGTTTCATGTGAACACAAAAACAGGGTCCACTATAATGTAATCTCATTTCAGTCTACATTACACAAAATATTGTGCTGGGAAACCAGGACGCCCAAGAAATAAAAATGTCGGGACAGTCAAACAACCCTAACGTAAAGAGCAGGTACTAAAATTGGAGCTAAATATTGCGACAGCCCTTTATTTATCAAACTCTCTGCCACCGTCTCTGCAGACAGGGGAAGGAAAGGATATTCATGCTACTAGAAAACAATAGTTTCAGCGTAGAACAAAGGATGGCGGATAGAATACTAACTAAATTAAAATCGAAGCGTTTAGACTACACCAATAGAGTGTGGAATGCAGTAATTCTAACAGAAATTTAACGTATTCACCAACAGGTGAATGAACAATAAAATGAGAAAAACTTCAACAGCCGCCATACTGTTTTCCCTCGTGAAGGTCAGAGAGGTTTGATAACCGCCCCTCAATCCTCAACTTTGCTATACAAACTAACAAATTAATAGCTCCGTCGAACCTGAAGAAAAATACATAATATTTTTTGCCTTTTCTGAACCTAGAAAAGACTTACAAAAGCTTCATAGAGATAGTTGACACAATCTTATCTTCAAATGGTTCAAATGGTTGTGGACGGAATAGAAGAAGCTTTCGCTTAACAGGCTTCCGTGTCTAGTAGCAGGGGATCACCAAATCCTCCAGGCAGGAACCTAGGTATGTTAACAATAAAAGAGGAAAAGAAATTGGTAAATCCTAGTATGATACTGTCCTTGGTCCTTAAGAATAGGTCACGTTGCCTCTTGAAGGACTCCTGAGAAGTCGCTTGGACTAACTCGGCCGGCAGCGAATTCCAGCTTTTGAAAACTCTTAAGGAGTAGAAGTTGTGTCTACATCCCTTCTCGCTATGTTGAGTTTCCAGTTTTTGGGTGTTACCCCTTAGGTTAGTATTCGAACTAAGCTTGAGTAGGTGTTTAAGAGGATGTCCAGAAGTGTTAAGAATACTATAAGCCATTAATAAATCACCTCTAAGACGCCTATACTCTAATGGGTAAAGGTCTAATGAATGGAAGCGTTCTTCGTAAGGCTTAGATTTGAGTCCTCGAACTGATTTCGTGGCTCGCCGTTGGATACGCTCCAAAGTGACCTTGTCCTTTTGGAGTGAGGGGGGAGTACTATATTTCCGTACTCTAAATGGGGACGGATAAAACTATTGAAGATTGTATGGAAAGTTCTTCCGTCAAACTGGCCAAAAATGCGCTTCAATGTTACCAGTGCAAGGTTTGCTCGGAAGGCATTTTTGTCACAATTAGCGTAAGACTTTAAATCGTAGGGCACCAGGACTCCTAAATCTTTTTCGACTTGGGATACTACTAGAGAGGAGTTTCTTAAGTTATAACTGTAGTCTGCGACATGTCGCAGATGGACTACTTTACACTTTGAAGTGTTAAAGGTAAGTCCGTTATCATCTGCCCAACTTTGAAGTCGAGTCACATCCTCCTGAAGTGCCTGTGTATCGTCTTGGTTGCGTATCTCTCCCCAAAGTTTCACGTCATCGGCAAAAAGTAATAAGTCTGACGTAACCTGTTGAGGAAGATCATTTATGTAGATCAAGAAGAGGAGAGGCCCTAATACTGAGCCCTGGGGAACCCCACTAGGACATTCCATATCCTGAGATAAAGTGAAATTAACCCAAACCTTAAAGTGTCGATTTTTCAGGTATGAAGTAAGCCAATCGATTAGAGGTGGTTTGATACCTAGTCGTTTGAGCTTATTGATAAGACACAAGTGGTTAACTTTATCAAAAGCTTTTGAGAAATCAAGGTATATGATATCAACCTTTCCCTTGCGATCGAGGATGCTTGTCCATCTGTCCACCGCAGTCAGCAGGTTGGTTATACAAGAGTAACCCTTCCTGAAACCATGCTGTTGGGGTGAGAAGAAGTTTAAGGACAGTAGATAATCGTTTAAACCATCGCATATCAGGGACTCCATGAGTTTTGAAGGTAATGACAGAAGAGCCACCGGACGATAACTTGAAGGTTCATTGCGTCGACCCCCTTTGAAAATTGGTGTGATGTGAGCCAACTTCCAATTTTCCGGTAGTTTGCCTTGGCTAAGCGAGTGTGAAGACATCACGCTAAGCGGCGTTGCCAGGATTGAGGCTGCCTCCCTCAGTATGGCAGAATGAACTATATCCGGGCCAGGAGAAGTATCTAGTCTTAAGTGCTGCAGTTTCCGGAACACCAAGTCAGCGCTTAGGTCCACTTCGGAAAGCCATGTGGAATCACAGGTGAAACTGTCGTCAATAGAGTTGATGTCAGCCGGCTGAAATGTTTGAGAGTAATGTGCCGCCAGAAGGTTAGCGGCGTCACCATCGTTGTTGATTGGGCCGTTAAGACCTAGCAGTTGAGAAACTCTTGTTTTGGCTTGACGAAGAGAGGCTGCATAACGGAATAGGCTTCTAGGGTTCGAGGCAAATTTGTCCATAAGCTTTGTCTGATAATGAAGCCTGTCTTCTCTTATAGCCTTCGTGCAAATGTTCCTGATATGTTTGAATTGCCTATACGCTCCGTCGTTGTCAGTTCGTTTGTATTCTGCCCAACAGTGCCTTTTACGGCTTACCAGACGAAGGGTACGGTTCTTGATTATTGTAGGTGGCTTACAGCTTTTGGGAACCGTTTGAGGAACTGAATGGTTTGTAGCACATAAGAGCGTGTGCAGTAAGAAGTCCCAATGAGCATTCACATCTAGTTGGGGTGAACATCCCAAACCACCTGTTGTAGATAGCCGTGTAGAGCTGGCACATTCAGCCGTTTAAAATTCCAACGCAAATTATTGTTGGGATACCTTAGCTTAGTTTTGGTGACAAAACTGAAGGCTATGACGGCATGATCGCTCTTTCCCAGAGGAGCCAGGATTGAGAGGATTTCAACTAGGAATTCTTCGTTTGTGAATGCACAGTCTAACCACGATGGTGTCTGACTGTTTCTCCAACGAGTTGCCGACCTCACATTTTCATGTAAGCCCAAGTCATCGATGAGGTTGAAGAACCGAGCTTCAATTGAGTTGTCGCCTCCAGTATACGTGTGTTCCACGAAGTTGACTCTAGGAAGATTAAAGTCCCCTAGAATCAGGATATGTGTGAAACCGAGACGGGTAGAGCGGGATAGTCCATCCAGCATACGACTATCGTACTCGATGTCAGCAGTTGGCCTCCTGTAAATGACACCGACTAGACACCTCGAAGTGCTAGACAATCTTACAGAGCACCTTATGGATTCCTCAAGATTGTTAAACTCGAGATTGTGAACTTGGTGCACCTCCAAGCAAGAGCTTATGTATATGGATACTCCGCCCCCAATTCCTGTTGTTCTGTCGTTGCGGAACAAAGTCATCCCTGGTAATGCTAACTCATGGTCCGAGAACTGAGAAGATATACAAGTTTCAGATATTCCTATCAGGTGGGCTTTATTAGCGTTGCAAAGTTCACGTAATTCGTCCAGTTTGTTTGGTAGACTCGAGGCGTTCATATATAAGCAGTTTATGCTTTCAATTTGGAACGCGTGAGCTTCGTCCTGTTTTTCTGTATGAGCCTTATGTGAATGGACAGGTAGCCCACCTGTGTGAGGTTTACCGAGGTGTTAGGCCCTGTCCTTTACACGTTTTTTTATCGTTTAGACAATCCACAAGTGGAATGGTCAGCTCCAACTTGCCTTTGTGCTTGGTCCTGGCTTCATATGGCCTGTCCGGGTGCATGTGGATTCCAGGTGGCAATCGACCTCTGTTGGCACGAAATGCTTCCAGAACTGCAGCCGCCATGTGGGAAGATGGGAAGGTTATCTTCATTAGACGGGGTCTAAGATCACCGTCCTTCTTGGCTAATCTCGTCACATGCTGAGTCAGTATGTTTTTGAGCCTCAAGGACTGTTTGATGAATTTCGATTCCCTGATGTCAGAATTTGATTGAGTAGGGTCTGCATTCTCCGGTATACCTTGCACAATTATGTTTCTTCCGCGGAAAAACTTCTCACGAGATTCTTTAGGGATGTTTCGTATGATATTGCGCTCAGAGAACGGTATATCGGGCAATATTCTTACGTTACCATCTGATTTCAGCAAGTGACTTGCTAGTAAGACGTCTTCTACATCGGTAGCATTCTTAAGTGTTACTCGGAGAAGCCTTGGGTGATTTAGATGCTTAGAGTCCTTTCCTTTAGAGAGCCAGGTGACCATCAAAGGCTCTATTCTAGGAAGTCCTAGCTTCTTGTTCAATTCACACCAGAGCATCCTGTCGTTTTTGTCCTGCAGACTGAGAGGAAGGTCAGGATTATCAACGAGGTTCATGATAATGAGAGAGTCGTCACGTACTGTTGTTAATTTACCAGGTTTCACGGCGGATTCATGTTTAATAACTTGCTGTTTGGAGGTCAGTGTGTGTTTATGAGGCTTGGGCTCTTTTTTGACCGGACGAACAGTCTTGGGAGTAGACTGTGCGACCAGATCACCAGTTAATTTCTGTACAGCAACACTTGGGTTGCTCGGCTTAGGCGGTGATGCCTGGTTCTTTTGGGCTTTCTTAACTTGGGTCGAATCACCAACAGAGTTTTTGGGAACCACTGTTGAGTTCAGGGACCCTGAGCTGGGAGACCCGAGTTTGCTTAGGAAGTCTAATACCTTCGACGTAATGATGGTGCTGAGCCTCGACACGTCATCATTAGTGTTGATGGATGCTCCATCGATGGTATACCTATCGACATCCCTGTTTTTGTATCCGTCGCACGCTCTTGTTTGTCTACCGGTTTTCTTACTGTCGTTGTCCAAGTTAACTGACAACTTGTTCCGAAGACCTGTCAGTAGGACAATGATGTTACTCAGCAAAACTACAGCATCCGTGCTGCTCGTGACACATACCCATTTTCGGTCTTACTTGTTGAGTCTGTTGTAAGCAGTTGATGTCAGATCTTTGCATGCTTCGTGGAACTGTAGAACTTATGGTCTACTATGATATTAGTACTGCTCTAATAATAGACCTAATCCTAAATTTGTAGATTTGTCATGATATGACTGCCTAATCTATAAGATCTTACGTGGAAGTCACACCATCGACTACACCAACTCACTGTATCGTATCAATTACCAATACATGATGTAGAACAAGGTTAGGCTAGAGAAAGAACAATATATTTAATATGAAAAGAAGATATAAGGTAACATTCAGCAGAGACCACGCCTGCATGGCCGAGCCATGCCGTTCGATCAACTCTAGTCTATTCAATTCATTATTCGCGCCTTCTCCATCGTTAGGTATTTATCCGCGTTAAATATTGAATACCTATTTTCCGAGTAATCTCGTATTCAGCTTTGAGGATAGTGTGGTTATGGTCCGATGCCACTACAGAACCAACCTTTGCAGTTGTCGCACTGCATGCCAGTTGCAACAGCAAAACGGCATCCCGGACGTTTGCATGAGTTTTTCATG